TTTGTTAGGCTGGGAATCGAGGGGTATGTGGGGGCAACGTTGAAATGCACAGCAGCAACAACAACTGTGGCATTAAATTTTTACCCTGTCAGCGCAATTTATGTCCTTGACAGCGATAGGCATTTCCTTTGAAGTTTCAAGTGCTCGACATACGACTCGCGGCTTTGCCACAAGGAACAATCGCAGGCAGTTTAAGTCCTTTTGGGTCCAGGGTGCAACCGACACAATTGTCGAGCTCACTTACTCTCTGTATGTGTGTGCGGGTTTGTGTGTGTGTGTTGATTTTCACAAGTGATTGCACTTCAGAGAGAGCCAATGTTGCCCTCGGTGCGAGCCGAGTTTTTGCATTTCAACGGCGTCGCTCGCAAATCGCGAACATTTTGACGGAAACGTGTCATAAATAGCACCGCATGCGGCCATAAACCTAAACCCTACCCCCACACTTCCACCCTCCAGACAGTAGCAAACTTGCTGGCACTTATTCGGACGGCGTTGATTTAGTTGTTTGTCTGGCTTACCTCTTATATAGTGAGACTTCCAGTCTACCAGGTTTTACAGTTTAACTTATTAAGAAATATTTGTTTGTAGCAATAAAGTTTTGAATGAAATCAAGACAGGACAACACAACGCATTCCGTGCACTAATTATTGATTGGATTTAATCAGCCAGTAATAACGTTTATTTATTTTCTTTTTAAATCTTGTATTAAGAACAATATACATTCTTATAACAATGCAGCTAGCTTAGATGATGTTTCGTTGGTTAAGTCCTCAATGGGTCAATAAGCGGCTTATATGAATAAGGCTGAATCGGAAATTAATTTTACAAGCATTCAAATATTATCATTTTGATTTCTATGAGGTATCGGCTTAAAGTTTAGTTTAATCTAAATACATTTTGGTTGGAATTTGTGTTCAGTTCAAGTTTCATAATTTGACTTTAAATTATATATTTATACCATGAAAAAACGTTTTTAATAAAATATATATTTTTGAAGTATTTGCTTTAATTAATCCAGTGAAATAGTTACACCAATTTTCTTAAAAATACATATCAATATTAATCAATTAAAAGTAAATTCGGAATCAATGATTTTGTTATACAACACTGAAGAGAATTCGGAATCAATGTTTGAGCATTGATAAAAGAAATTGATAAATTGATTGAACAAATAATAAATAATTTTTTGTTTTTAATATTTCATTTCTAACAAAAAGTATTAAATATGAATGCTTCTCGATCCATTGAATAAACAATTTTCGAATGTAATTTTTTTACAATTTTGTTTTCTGCTATAGAGAATAAGAATAATTCTTTTGTTTACATCGAGTTATCAACTGTGTAGTACAGTTGTGTACGTATGTTAATCGAACTTCTACGTAAACCACATTTGTAAACCTAAACCATGCAGAGCAGAGCTGTAGGGGCTTAGCACCCGATTTTGGTAAATTACAATTTGATTTTTGGCGCAACATTTGGCAAATAAGCTGATAAAAAGCTAACCTATCGACCCGACGCTCCCAGCTGCCAGTTGATGATGACGGAATCGTGTCAATATCCAGTGGCGTCGGGCACGTGTGCAGAGCGTAAATTCCAGGCCAATGCTAATGGTCCGCAGCCCGCCTCCCAACTGGCAGGCCGAGATTTCAGTTGGAGGAGTTTGCATGTGGGGCATTTTGGCTGGGCTGGGCTGGGCTCTGATGTTGGCGATTTTCGTTGGCTCCAGCGGCCATTAGCACGTGCACACATTCCAAAGATTGGACCGAACGGCAACTCTGGCAGCATCGGTTGCGTCGGCGTCGTCGGCGGCGGCGGCGGCGGCACATAATTTGCGCAAATTACCGACAACGCGTTGCCATATTTTCCATTGGCAATGATGCCGCAGGGTCTCTTGACTCGCTTTCTATTTATGGCTTGGCCGGATGATTGCCCCACCGCCGCCGCCACTGCGTTCGTGTGGGCCTTGGCACAGACAGGTGCGAAACAAGCACGGCGAAGCACGAGTGCCAGGACAACGTTTATCAGCAGTCCTGCCAGTCGCTCCATGCCAGGCAGCCAGCACGAACTGCACAAATCATTTCCGAATTGCACGAAAGTTTGTCTCGCTGCGACTCTGGCTGAGATGTGGAGCAGCTTGGCAGGACATAAGCTGCGTCCATAACTTTGCCTTGTTTATGTTTGTGGGATGTGATGCGACCGATGCGACGGCAACTATGCAACAAAACACACAGCCTCCCTTTCACTCGCTCTCTTTCTTTTTTGGGATGCCCTCTGGAAGCCTGGGGATGCAATGTAGTAGCATAATTTTGCTTTAGGTTCGCCACAGTGCAGTGGTTTCTAAGCGGGATATGAACCGTGCAAAATGTGCAATAACATTAATTGTTGGCAGTTTTTTGATTAACTGCTAAAAATATTAGTCTATTTTTAAACTTGGGAAACTTGAACCGAACTTGTAGTTACATGTTATTAATCACAATCAACTGTTATATCTATCTACGAATGAGTACAAATGAATTGTTTAATTTGTAAGAATTGACTAGTTTCCAAATTATAATTATTAAATTAATCATTTTTTAAATTTGATTGTATATAGTATATATTTTTGTTTATTATACATATTCTCTAAAAATATGTACTTTAATATCTATAAATTGTTTGCAGCCCACTTAAACAACCGAAAAGTGTGATTACAAGTGGTTCGAGTTCGAATTACAAGTATATCTCAAAATAATGTTTATGGGTATGAACCAGAAACTTCAGCAATGCAACTTTTGACGTGTTTCCTGTCCAAAAGAAATGGGTTTAGTTTTGCGAAACACGGCTCCAATAAATATTCATCTTTAAAAATGGGCTTGAAAAGGGTTATACCAAAATTCATGATATATAAAATAACTGCAGTGAAATCTCTGCTTCTAGCTTCTAACTTGAACACCAATCGCCCAACCAGTCGTAAATTATGAATACATATTTTCATATTTCAAACAAGCTATCAAGTATCAAGAAAAAACTGAAAATATTCTGTAATTATTAACAATATTTTCATCTGATTTTTAACGCTTTAAAAATTGTGCACCAAATGCTAAAAAATATATTTCAGTTCTTTGCGAAACATATCTCGACTTCGTTGATATACTCCTGATTTTCATTCAGATCTTCAACATGGCTGGCAATACGAACTGCGTGTTGTTGCGTCTGAAACGGTTGTTAGCCTAATACGAGTGTGTCCTTAAGCGCCTTGTTTACCCCAACGCGTCCTTCGTGCCCTGTGCAAGGTTAAATTCTAGTCCAGTGTGTCTGTGATATGTATGAGCGGTACGTGTGAATGGCGCTTCCAAATGCTGCCAGGGCTGAAGTGCCCGCTGCTTGGTGCTGCTTCTTGGCGCCAGTTACATTGATGCGATGCGATGTGATGCTGATGCCGTTGCCGATGGCGATGCTGGTGCTGGGGCTGATGCCGATGCAGCACATCGGGCGTCAGTTGGTGCTGCTCAGTTGGCAGCTTTTGTTATGCTCGACTCGCTTCCATCACGATTTCCATCCATTTCATCCGTGATGCAACGTCACGCACAGCCATATACAATAATATCAAATTCGCGCATCACTTTCAGCCTGCTACCCAGCTCCGAATACGTCTCGGCAGTTCCTCTGATGTGTCGTCATGTCGCATGCGTCAAATGAATGTTTCATACTCCGAGTGGACCACGTGCCACCGCCTGCACTCGCGCCAAGGACTCATCTGTTTTTGGGCAGCGGCGTTTGATTAGTTTTCCTAGATCGACTTGATGTCCTTGTCCTTGTCCTTGTCCTGCTTGTCGTCATCTGAAATGGTAATTGCCAATGCCCAAAATAGGTATGAAAGCAGAGAAAACTCTCAAATGTTTGGTGCGTGCGGTAATTTCATGGGATTATTTATGAAGACTTTCCCCATATCACTCGCATTACCCATTCCAACAAACATTTAGCTATAGCTAAGAACAATGTACACAACTTTCTGGTTTTTAACAGTCTCACAAACATGTTGCGTAGTCTGGATAAATTCTCGAAATTCCAGCCAGATAATCTATTGTTGTATATTCAACACTCTTGCATTGACATCTTATAGATATCTGTGTGGATTAGAGTTATGCAACCGCAGCTGCTTTGAATACCAAATATATTCTTTGCAATCCCCAGTTCTATGGCGAATCCATTAAGTATGATCCCGCCCCCGTTGCACAACATTTACGATATTTTGCACATTTACAAACACTGGAAAAAAAAGTATATACGTATATCGATTTGAGGAAAAAGTTTTGAAACAGTTATTGGCATCATCAATTGAAGTGTAAGTAAACAACATTAAAAATAATTGCAACTAAATCCAAGCGATTGCGCCGCCATCACATTTCAGCAGAGAAATGGCTGCTGCTGCTGCTGCACCAAGTGCCCAGCGCCAGTCCCTGGGCAGGATTCGCTTCCATGGAGCAGCCAGCTCCTAGAGAGCAGTTGAATGCAACGGCGCAAAAGCTTTCTCGAGTGCATAAATCTGTCGCTAGAATTTCCTTTTTCCAAGTCATTTTATGATTATGTGAAAGATTTTTCCGGCACAACTTGCAAGCCATCTGAGCTTGCATCTGTGTGCGTGCGTGTGTGTGTGCCTGAGTGTGTATAATGCAACTGTAAATTCTTTTCGCTCAAGTCGTTTCAGCATCGCAATTGAAGCCACTTTGATGTTTGTTCCGACTTCGATGTCCCAATAATTGGCGATTTGAATGAAATTATATGCCAAAGTTTAGGCCCTAATGGAATCAGTTCCTGAACGAGTTTCTTTAAGAAAAATCATCTCAATAAAGACTAAGCAGGGGGTTCACAAAAAATTATGCTTTTAAAAAACTAAAAATTACTATGAACTATAAAATATTTATTACAGATTTTAAACGAAGAGCTGTCATAATTCACACCTAGTTTTGGTGATTATCACAGGACGCAAAACTAGGTTTTCCTTAACATAAAATAGGATCTTATACTAGCTAATGTTTATTAATAAGTATAATAGTCGTAGGTGTGAGAGAGAGAACTGTTATAATTCCCAACTAGTGGGATACGTATATACTTTGATTTTTGCTGTTTAAGGTACACAATACAAATATGTAAGATTTCCGTTTGTTTAATGGAAGAAATACATGCTCAGCCTGTAAGCCGAGGTCTGTTCTTTTAGAAAGATGTTCCGCGCTGTAATTAGAAATTTTAAAAGAATTGAATGCAAAACCAATTAGAAAGCATTTTTTAGTTTAATTTACTTTCTGCCAAGTTTGGTTCTTTACGTTCCACCCAAAGCTGCTGGGACCTTTATAAGAAACTTCATCGACGATAGCTTGCCCCTACGCTTGTTGAGCTAGAGTACTGGCAGCTATACTGCTGTCAGGTAACTCCTGAATATCGTGATCCTCCACGGGCTTGTCGTTGGGATTTTCTGTAACGGCCGCATTTCCAGCTCCCTGTCCTTGAGCACCTTTCGAAGCCGAGTCCTGCTTAACCTCAGCAGCAGCAGCATTCTTTTCTCTGCGGCGTTTCTTAACGTGCACCCGCACGGTGCCCATGCCCCAGGCCATCTTTCCATGTCTGGCTAAAAGCAGCTCGTTGGACTCCTTGGTGATCTTCAGTACCATCTTTTGGCCCTTGCTATCGGGCTTGACAGTAACCACTTGCCAGTCAGCTGTGGGTATATCCGGATTTTGCCATTTCAATAGGTCCATGGCCTGCTCCCGCGGCATGACCCGCGGCAGAGTCAGCTTCGCTCTGAGCAGCGGCGGAATCCATTTTTTATTGACAACCTCGAGTTTCGCGTCTGGCCATGGGGCATCCATGGCCGCCACTGTCGTGGAGAGCCATTTCATGGCATGGTCATCGCCGCAACCGATAAGCTTGACCCCAGTTTGCCAACCGGCATCATCAAAGCGGGCGGGTATACTGTCGGGCTTGGCCATACTTTGGAGCATGGCATCCACCAGCTTAGTCTCGACCAACTGCCACTGGCTTGGTGTAATCTTTCCGGATGAATTGCTTTTATCAATGAGCGCCACAATCAGATCATCATCCCTTCTGGCCTCATTCTCCATCTTATCGGCTGTCTTATTTTGGTTGCAAGGCCGCTTGGACGCAGGCGCTTCAGTCTTGGAGGAGCGCGGTCTCTTGTAGGCCGACGACTCCTCAACCGAATGTTTGCCATCCTTCAGCTTAGTGGCTCCGGGCTTGGCTGCAATTTGCTTGCCCTTGGGGGTCACTGGTTCTTCTTTGATTTGGGGTATGGGAGAAATTGACCTGCCAGTTGCCTCCGCACACGCAACGCATTGACTTTCGTTCTGGGGCGAGAAGTTGTTACTGACCTGTGGACGGGAACCGATTAGAAGTGATACGTTATATAGACCATGAGCATTGTTGATCTCTACCCTGGGGGCGGCAGTCTGAGCTGGAGGTATCTTAGCATTGCCACACGATTCGCACACGGCTTCAGTTTTTATTGGCTGAATGAGGTTCGCTTGCGGCACGCTCAGATTGATGGCAGTCGCTGTGCAACGACCTTGGCCTGCGTCCACCAAGGTCGAGGTGTGACCACTGGCGACACGTGGAGAGGACTTCTCCTCCCCGTGCCCGCCGGTGGTAGCGGTCACTTCTTCCACCGACGTTTGGACTGATATCCCAGCCCGAGTTGTTTCTATATTCACCTCCATTGCGATTTATGAATTCAGGGAATCACCCCTAGCGTTTTATGCCTACCGCCAGGCAATAAACACCTCTGAACCATGGCTCCGGTCTTATACCGGAACCTTAGCTAGACACTGCATCGCCTGGATGAAAAGTGTGCAAAGTATTGCCCGTTTCATCCAAAATAAGGCAGTGCCCATTGCCCGGCCGGCACCCTCGTGGAGGGTTCAGTTAGAGGATTTTTGCCGGCCCCACAAAAAATTTTTGAATGTGTTAATGAAATTAACTCAGCAATTAAATCTGTTAAATATCTGGAAACATTTCTATTAATGCACATGAAAAATAAATAAAGAAATTTAAAGTATCATAAAATCAATACATATTAAGTAAATCTTGGAATATTCTCATTCTTAATATTTTATCTTTTATTTTATGAATTTTAACTTGGATTTTGATGAGCAAAATTATGATAAACTACATACTTTTTTTTTTGCATATTCTTAACTATTTTAATAAATAAAAAAATAATTATTTGAATTTTAATTTGATTTCAGAAAATAGCCATCTTTTAAATTAACTATAATTTTAACTCTGGAAGAATTAAAAAAATAGGTAAGTAATATTTAATTAATTTTTTGAATTTTGAAAACTGAATTGAATTATATATTGATTATTTTTGCTTTAAACTATATTATTTAAAAATTTTGTAGTCCTTTATTCAAATCAATCTTGATTGCTTTATTTTGTCACATCACTTTATATTATTTAATAAAACGGCAGTTATTTATTTTTTTAAATTAGAACATTAATTTTGTTGCTGGAGCAGACATCTGCTACCGTTGCCGGTCTGAATTCAAGTGATTTAATTTGGGAGGGTTTTATATGAGGCGTAATGAAATGCGATTTGACATTAGATGCAAAGTCTACTGAAAAAGAAAAGCAATATTCGCCAATATAATTTTAAAATACTTAGAGAAAGATACTTTAAATAATTAACTTCATTTGACAAAATATAAGCTGGATGTCTTTTACGGGCAAGAAATATTTTGAATTATCTGGTGCGATACTTCATAGATGTAATTTTTTATTAGATAATATGTTCTGTTTCCCAACTGTGAAATACAGACAGCTTAAAGATTGGCGATTCCCAAGCAGAAGTTCCAAAACTTTGGGAGATAAAGGGGCCCAGAATTGGTTGACTAATCGTATTTATGACTAGCTTAAGGCCTTCAGGGTCAAAGCTAAAAAGTTTTCTTTTAACACTTTTATTTTGCATCAAACTTTGTTAATATGCGACACAAATATTTGTTGAGCGTGGGAGCATGATTAACCGAAACCTAGCCAGAGATTAATGATAAATCTCTTCAATTGATTTAGCTACTGTTCCCAAAGTGAGCTCCGCATTGGAGATGCCGTCTGGTGAACCGGATGCAATTCGCGAAATGTATTTCCTGGAACTGAATGCCATGCAGCACACTGTCAACGGCGTCATTTGCAGCATCATCATTATTTTAGTTGTTTTTCTCGATGTTGTTGTTGTTCATGTTGTTGTATTTGTTGTTATTAGTTTGAAAGAGTTGACGTAAATTATCGATAGCCATCGATAGTTTATGTCACACCATTGACTTTGATATACGACAAGATTTTGCACAAATCATAAATAATGGCAAATGCGATAATAAATTTGAAATTTCCTGGCGGCAGCAAATGATCGTCTTCGTCTCCGTGTGGCCACGACAGCGCAACACCCGCCCCGGCCCTACACCCTGCCCCCTACCCCACTCAGCTAGTCCCGGTCCTCTCCTGGTCCAATGGCAGCGACAGCAGCGCTCATTTGGCAATGCGCGGCTAGGCCGGCCAAGTGGGTTGACATGATGACGACGTCGACGACGTAGCTGCTGCTGCTGCTGCACTCCACTCCGCGGCAAGTGAGTGCAGCAGCCATGAGGTGTCGTCGTACGTGCAATTTATTCATAAATGTTGTAGCCCACATTCAAAGCGCAAGCCCAGCGATTTGACGGAGATGAATTCATCTTTGATAGATGATGGATGTGCCGGCTGCAGCGGCAGCTAACATAAGTCACCCAGCCCTGCCCAACCCGACCAAGACCAAGACCCAACCGGGCGACGACCCAGTCCCAGCCCCAATTTCCGCTACGGTCAGGCTGGCCGTCGCAGGGCAAGGAGTCGTCTTTGTGACGTCTGAGAAATGTGCAACATCCACGACGTGGCACACACTCACACACACATGCTTGTAGGGGCATATGAGTCGTTGGCGGCAGCAGCAGCAGAAGCAGCAGCAGAAACAGCATCGTCGTCATCGGCTATCAATGATATATTGGCGCCGCTATGTGCGACAATAACGTAAAATAATAGCGCAGGTGTTTCACAAGGCGACGAACTCAGCCAGTGCCGCCGCCGCCTCCAATGGAGCTGATGACGAAAGAGTTTAGATTACGTTGTTCAGTCAAATCAATCATAACTGGAGCTAGCTTCGAAACAGGTTGCTTTCCCAGTTCTAACCAACTGGTCGCCACGTGGTGAATGCATTCCCATTTGTCTATAGTCAAAAGAAATTGTTTTAGATAGTTGAGTTTTATAAAGATAAATTCAAGCTCGCCAAATTTGATAAGGGTAAAGAGTACGGCCAACAGAATAACGAGAAATTTCCTTTAAAATTTCCAATTTGTTTAACTTTCCCTTCGATTTTCCCAATATGTCATTCAAAGAGTATGCAAAAATTGGTAACTTAAGTATTTTTAATGATTGCCAAACTTAACGAGAAATTCCCTTTAAAATTCCTTATTCGTGTAAATTTCCCCTCGATTTTCCCAATGTGTCATTCAAAAAAGAGTATGATAAAATTGGTATTTTTAATGATTGGAAAACTTAACGAAAAATTCCCTTCCGATTTCCGATTTCGTCCCTTCAATTTTCCAAAGGTGTCATTTAAAGAAAAACAAGAATTAATTAATAATTTAAAAGTTTTTTTTACAAACTTTTGGACATTTCTAGTCAATATATGGACTATATATTTCGAGATGAGAATTTGTAATAATTAAAAGGGAAGTGCGAACAAAGTTTGCCCAAAAAATGCACTCTTTGTAAGCCCAAACAAACTTAGTGGAACTAAAAAATGATTAATTTAAGAAAACTTTTGACCGCCGATAAAAAGTCGAATTCTAGAGCAAAATTTCCAATGCAAAATTCCCAGTTTAACCAAAACAAATCTCTGATACTCTTGGAATTTTAACTTGCTGTGAAAATCAATTGGCAATTGGCATTCAAAATGTGAATTTCTCACGATCTGTGGTGTGCTCCTGTCAAAGGCTGATTCAGGTCTCAGGATTCCGGCTGCCGCAATCAAACTGCGATCACTGCTGCTATGATCACTCTTAGATAGCTCAATTCACAGCGCGGAGCCAGCACATTTACCAGCTCTTAGCCAAGAGTTTGACATGCTTTCCCCTTCTGCTGCTTCGGCCAGGTTTCACCTTTCATTTGTATGCTTTGCATGCATTTCTTAGCTAGTTTCCGTTAAGTCCAATTAAAATTGCCCTATCTGCGATCGGCCAACAAATTGCTGCCCCATGCAGCTGAGGCAATTGCCGACCAGCAGCAGCAGCAGCAGCAGCAGCCAGCCGCCAGCTGCCCGGGCCATAGCCAAACCAGTTGGCTGTCCAGGCTAACCAACTAAGCAGGCAGTCAGGCAACCAACCTGCAGCAGCAGCCCGACAACAACAAATTAAGTGACAAAATGTCAATGCAAACAAGCAACACACACAGCCGCAAACAACCCAGCGTCCAAATCGCAGCTGGGATCATTGATTCTCTCTCGTTCAATTGGCAAACAGCAGAACCAAATCGCAGACCTTTTCCCTATTTGGTAAAAACTCTTCGTTTTCTACAGATATTTTGCAAGAAATTTTATTAAATATTTGTGTTATTACGATTGTACCAAGAACAAGCCGTATTAAATATTTATATATTTACAATTTTTCGAAACAAAAAGTTTTTGTGGAAATAGACATCTGCAGATCGAGCAAAGATAAAGCTAGCGGCAGAAGAAAGTGGGAGCTCTGTTGACACCCCGTTGGCAGCTGTTTAAAAGCCAGACAGGGGGAAGAGCGGGGCGAGGAGGAGTTGCGCGAGTGTGATGCACGCAAAATTTATTAATGTAACCGCAACTTGACACATTTGGCAGCACTGGCAGCGCTGATGTTGCCTGTCCCGGCAAGTGTCATGTGCGCACAAAATTTGCAAGCAACTGCGACAACAGCAACCAAATTAACAACAGCCACAACATCAACAACAACAACAACAATATAGCCAATCATTCAGATCGAGCAACGATCCGAGTCGATCGAAATATCCAACGAAAGGCGAACGAACGAACGAGCGAGCGACGAGGCAGGCGACAAGAAAAATCAATTAGTGAGCGACATGTGACGATAATAATGCCAACAATAAAAATTGCACTGAGGCCCCAATGTGGCTCACAGACCAAGTGACGACGACAACAGCAACAACAACAACAACAACAACAACACGTGCTGTCAGAGAGATAGAGAGAGCCAAATATACGCAGCTAGCCACAAGCAAAGTATCTTTGTATCTTTGTATCTGCAGCCGAGTAAGTTTTTTGTGAGCCGTTGAGACTTTGATCAGTGCCTGCAATCGATCCGCCTTCACTTTGCCCAGCTAAATTTCAATTTCCGCAGCAAGTTTTTCTACCTCTGGGAATCAAAACTCAGCCGTAACATCAAGAACTTGAAAGTCCGGCAACGCCAAGCGGTGGCGTGCGGCGGAATGCAAATAAACAAAATGAAATATGTAAGTGTATGTTGTTGTTGTTGTTGTTCTTATGGGAGTGTGTGTGGCGGGTGTTGTGTGTTGTTTAGTTGGGATCCCACTGGGGCTGGGCCCCTAACGAATGGGGGCCAAGAGTCAACCTGCGATCGTTCGATACAAAATTGATTGTCCATCGTAAATTGAATTTGTGGCATTCGCCAGTCGCAAAATTTATGCCCGCTTCGGTTATTTTTTCAATCAACGCAAAGTCACTTCGGCTACACACAGAATGGATTGCAAAATATTTCACAGGCCATAACCGAAGAAGCAAACGAAGCCTTGAAACTGACTTTAGACAGCCGAGTGTTGGAAAAGTGAAAACAAACAAATGCTTTCTTTAAGTATCGGACTTTTGAATGGAAAAAATAATAATGGGAAATTCTTAAATATTGATAAAAGGCGGGCCTGG